TGACTTATATGTTGCTAGAACATTTCACACCGAAATATATTTCGTTTTAAGAAATTCTTTTACCTGGAACACGTGGAAATTATCAAAACTACGATTTTCGGTACGTGTTTGATTGACACATATTCTTGCACTTTCACAAAGTTAACTTTATCCATAATACTTAAGAAAAGTAGAAATTTTGTTGTCTATTAATGAAAAATATGAAAACTATAATCCAGGAAGTTCAGAGTAGAAATGCGAGAAAGCAAAACCAATTCTCCAGTATTTCCAGTCCGTGCTCAATGATGTGTGCAGACTAAACAAATTGAGCACACCCGCTAAAACGTAAACATTAACAATAACAGAGCTCGTGGCCTGTTTACAAACACAGGTATTTTACATGATGTTATGAAGAATATCGTCAATGAAATCTTAGAATATTCATGCAAGTTCAAATTATTAAACTGATGTTATTTTTTGAATAAAATTAGACATTTTTCCCATACAAGCTAGGAATCATGATTCTGGTTTGATATCATTAAGATCATATCGAATTAGTTTCAACTGGACACTAATTATCCCCTCGCATCGGAGTTGCGAAGGGGATATAGTAATGCGCTAAGTGTATGCTAGTAGGTTTATCCTGTATGTGTCCTTAAGTGACGGAATTTGCACCGGAATCGAATGTTGCCTTGATTTATTTATATATATATTTATATATACTGAAAGGAAAAAGAAACGCATAATTAATTTCCGAAGTTAATACAATCAACAATTTACAAAGATAATTTTCTATTTTATTAAACATAATCTATGTCATTGTTTCAAATTTTTTCGTTGTTTTAAATTGAGGTAACAATATTTAGACAAAAGGTCCTGTAGTGACTGTAAAAAAAGTTTTAAAGAAGGTGTGGTTCATGTATGAAAACTCAAAAATTAATAGACGTAATGTGTCCTCCACGTGCCAATGTTGTTGCGCGTATTCTCTTCTGCATAGATTGGATTAGGGTATTGATAGTTCGTTGTGGAAGCCTATCCCATTCTTCAACGATTCTTCTGTCAGCTGCTGAAGATTTTGGGCGACTTGTGGGCGAGGCGAATACGCCAATATCATCCCAAAGATGCTCTTTGGGCGATAGATCTGGGCTGTATGGTGGCCATATCCACATTCTGAGCAGGAATTCCAGGCAGACACGAGCAACGTGTGGTCTTGTGTTATCTTGCTGCAACGTCAGTTGATGCTGCTGAACATAAGGCAACTGTAGAAAGAATACAGTCACGATATTATGCAGCGTCAAATTTCCATTAATCGCTATAAGAGGCATCCTCCAAACGGCCAATGCCTCACCACACTATGACAGCCCCCCCCCCCCCCCCCCCGAAGCGGTCTCTCTCTTCTACGCATGCGTCTGCAAAACGTTCTCCCCGCCGTCTGTTCACTCTTTTACGATCATCTGCCCTGTGTAGAGTAAACCTTGATTCATCAGTGAAGAGAACCTTTTTCCATTGTCGCATACTGTGTCTAGAAGGTGCATGTTGTTGCAACCAATCAAGTCGCACTCTCCGTCTTCTGTCATTTAATGGTAGTCCCACAAATGGTCTCCTGGCTCTTATACCGAATTCTCGAAGCCTGTTTCGAATGGTTTTCTCACTTATTCTTTATGGGAAGACAGATGCTGAATAAACAGCCGCCCTACTCCTGTCCCGCAAGTCTGAGAGTCGGATTACTCGATCCTACCGGGGTGTGGTCGCCCGGGGCCTACAGTGTACCACTTCTAGGACGGTCATTAATGTTCCCCGTCTCTCTGACTCGATTATTAAGTCGGGATAATGTTGAATGGGAGACTCCTAAACGTCTGGCAATCAAGCTGTGTGATTAGCCCTCCATTATTCATGCTAAAGCACTTGGCCCTCCCCCATTTCCTAAACGTGGGATGTGTATGTGGGAACATTTTTGAAAATTAAAGTGCAAAAATGTATGCTCTGTTGAAAAATTATCAGTTTGCTTGGACCAGCACCGAGTGTGTTTGAATAAAACACAATTTTCGTGAAAACGCACGAACAAAGAAATCTATTCATGGATAGTCATCGATGATTGATTTTGTGGCTAGTATCAATACAGAAACCCCTTTGAACATAATTCTCTGAAAAATAGGTAGTTTCTTTGCATAATTAGAATTCTGCTCTAAAAAATTGACATATGCATTTCTTGTTCCTTTCAGTATATATGTATATTTTTAATTTATTCATCTATCGTCTTAACTTCTCATATACTCACCACATAAATAAAAGTGAACGAGGGGATATTAAAATATAGCATACATGTACGGAATTTTGCTTTTCCTAGTGTATTTATGATTGAGTTGTGTGCAATCGGGTTCGAAATTTTTGTAAGCATCATACTTAGCTACGTAGCTTGAATTACCTAAGTACAGTAAAGTAGCAAATTACAGGTTTGCATCTCCAAAATTATTTTCCGTATTTTTTAAGCATTTAAACATTTTCTTCTTAACAGCACTTGTCCATTCACTATATATTTAGCTACACACATGTAGCTTGTCTACGTACAGTGAAGTCGCCAATTACGGGTTGTCTCAGTTCCGATTCATTCGTATGTATTTTATGCAATATTATTTTAATTGAAGTAGAGAAAAAATTAATATACACACTGGTAATGTATTGATTTTTCTGTCTTTAATCAGTAACAGAATTTCGAAAATCAATATTAACGTTTCTTGTTCATTGCAAGACAAGAGTTGTAGTAAAACAATAATAGCTGCAAAGTATAGCACTTGCATTCAATTTTAACTCAGAAATCATTCATAATGATCACTGCTCAAATACATAATACATCAAACTGTAGCAGCGATCCACATAACTGGAACATATCAAAACTCAACATGCTCAATATTCAAAACCTAGCGCCAACTTTTTATTAACTTAGAATCATAAAGGTATTCTCCAAGGAAAATATAAAAAGTAAGATTGGTGTTTCTCTTGCAGTAAAATAAAATAAAATTTATCCCCTCGCAACGAAGTTGGAGAGGATATAATAACGCTCATTTGTGTATTGTAGAAGGGGGGGGGGGGCTGGGAGTGAGTGGTTGCGTAACAAAAGTTAAGCAATTCTCCGCTTCTCTGTGCCTTGTTCGATTTATAAGAAAAGATTCTTTATATATGCCTCTATCTTTATTCATTAAAATTTCAGAAAGCGAAAACAAAAGCAAATTTTTCTACCCTGACTGATTCATATATAATTACTGTATTAAACTACATAAGAATACCAGACATCCGTTATTTCTTCCATCAATATTTAAAATATATATAATCAGAATAAATACATCATTTTCAATCCAAAAGTCTTGAAATGATTGATTGTCACTCAAGGAAATGAATAAACTTCAACTTTATACTTTACCCTTTGCACCAATATAAAAAAAAAATTTGAAGTCTTCGTTGTAAGTAACACTACTTAGACTTTTACAAAGACTAGTTTGAATGCAAATTAAATAACATGCATGTACATGTATGAAATACCCATCAACTACTATGAGGTCATTGTAAATCGAGGGTTCAATATTCGTGGGCAAGAAAAATCTGACTGGTTCGTGGGGATGTTACTTTGCGGATTATGCTTTTATACAAAATATTCAATTAATCTATATATATATATATATATATATATATATATATATATATATATATATATATATATATAATCATAAAAGAAAAAGAAAATGCACAGTTTCCAAATTTGGAAACTGTGCATTTTCTTTTTCTTTTATGATTATTTTTACTGTGTGACATCATCTTTTCACTACTTTTGAATTATATATATATATATATATATATATATATATATATATATATATATATATATATATATATATATATATATATATATAGTATATTATATATTAACAAGAGGTCATCGTGCCATAATACTCACTCGAGTCATCTTGACCTGTATATAAAAAGAGTTTCCCCCTTTATTTCAATGATAAATTTTGACCATATTTTGCTTTTCCTTAGCCAAGGGCTCATGCCTTAATATAACTTGAACACTGGGATATGAATGACGCTGCATTACTGCTTCGTGATAATTTTTTTAATTATCCGTTTTTCCTGAGGATTTTCCCCATGTAAATTTTTTATTCATTAATTTTGCCCCACGTTTACCCACAGAACCATTTTTTGAACAAACATCAATCTACATTATTTCAAGGAGGTTTCGCATAACTCTCGTTTTTTCTTGTATAATTTTTCCTTCAGATCAGTTGAGGTTTTTATAACTCCGCCGTAATTTGCTTTTCCGAATTATTTTCAATTGGAAGGGGTCATAGTCCTTAATTAAATAAATTGGAATTGGCTTTTCTCAAAAATACTTTATGTCAAGTTTGATTGAAATTGACCCATTTGTTCTGGAACAGATTACATAATGTAAAGTTTACAACACAACAACCACAATATCGACAGACAGCAAAACATATTGCAATCAGAAAAAAAAACTTTTATGATGATATTTAGAAAAGCTGCAATTTCTGTTTAAATACTAATACTGATTCAACGATCACAATTTAACACAGAAAGACTAGGGTGTAAATGTGTACAAAAATATGAAATAACAAATACATAAAAAAATATTTTTTTTGTGTAATGCATGTAAATTCCACCTAAGCGTAAATATTAACTTTGATAAATAAATAAAGTAGTCTGATTTGAATTGTACCATCGATCAAAAACAAAAATAATAAAAATAAAACAGCGCCATTTAAAGAATTTATCAGATTGAACAGTGCTTTATAAAAAAAAAAACTTAAAATAGTCCAACTAAATTATTGGAGAAGGTAACACAATGATAGAGGCATACACGGGTATATACAGTTAATAAATAATGCATTTTCTCTGAACTGAAAAATGATTGATTTTTAAAAAGACAGAGATCAGTCTAAAATTAACAAAAGACTAAATGATCGGTTGCATCCGTTTATAAATTAGAAACAATTTTTTAGACGCTGCATGCAATAGTAAACTATATGGTATCACAGTCAATCACGCTTCAAATTATTGATTAATCTATAAAATTGCATCTAATAATCACAGACAAATGTTTGGCCCGAGTATGACTAAGTCAGGTTTCTGATTTCGTACTCTATTTCTTTCGCTCCGTTCTTAATATTGAGCCCATTGACTGGAACCCTTGCAAGGTTAACGCGATAGACGGGAGGATCTATTTCCACGACAGGAGAATGCTGAACCCCTTGACTCCGTAGTTCTTTGTCGTTTTCAGATAAATATCTTTTACGCTGAGATTTCGGAGTAGGTTTTCTTGTCGGACTTCTGTCAGATAGGACTTCCGGTGATTTCGATGACACTTGTCTGAGATATTGTCCATTTTCTTCTTGTTCCTCTTCTGTGTTCATTTCGTCAAGCTTTTCTAGCGGTTTGCGTTTCTTTTCCTTTGTTGACTTCTTCCGCCGGAAAGATGGCTGGAGAATATCAGACCCAGCGTTTTCAACAGTAGGCTTTATTGGCTCACGGACACTTGCATCTAAATTTCTGCTGGACATTCTCTTTACACTTGGGCGTATAGGAGAGATGGATGTTATCACGGGATGATCATGATAGTCCGTGGTCATCAGTGTATCGTTTACATTAAGTTGAGGGTGCAGTGTCTGCATCTCGTTTGATTTCTTTTTGGCCCAGACTTTATCCTCAGTGGTTGCATACTCCATATGAAGAGAGTGAATTTCGAGGAAATAGCGATCTTCGTATTTGATTTGTTTTGTTATTGGATCAGAACCTCGAATTCTCTTTTTTGTACCAGCACATGAGAGAATAGTTTGAAAACAGCAGAGACAAATAATGTCCTCAATAAACAAAATAACTGACAGCTGTTGCACGCGCCATTGTGGAAATTGTTCCTCTAACACAAGAGAGCAAGTCTGTGACATCATGGCTATTAAAGCATTCAACATAAGCAAGTAAGTAAAGATGGTAAAAAGTGCAAAAATTGTTATCGCAACCCAAGGAATACGCGCTGAATAAAGAACATTTATGTCCTCGATGCCGATTCCAAGCTTAAACATCGCCATCATCGTACTTCCGTAAGATGTAAAATCGCTTTGCATCTCCTCTGATCCTCGAAAGACCATGTACATTCCGGCAGTGAACGAAAAAAGCCCAAAAAGTATGACCAACCCAAAGCGGAAGAGGTCACCAATGATTACACGCTTGATCATTTCTGTGAAAAAACTGAAATGTTTTATTGGTGATAGAAAAAATATGTTTAGCCACCAGCCACATACTAGAGCAATTATTAAAGGTATGTTGTCGTGTTGTTCTGTAATACTCCAGAGGACATCCACTATCATCATTACGGATAGTATCAGCATCGGAAATATATATTCCAAATTATGAAGAAAATAACCTCGAATATTGTTTTTCCGGATTTTGGCGCTGAGCAAACAGATCGCAATAAAGCCATAAAGAATTCCAACCGAAAACGATACCCATCTAAATCCATAAACAAAATTTTCCGAATAAGCTGTTGTATTGACGCCGCCAGTATTTCCTGTAGGAATGCTCAATTCGACATTGTAGACGCTGTATATTGTTAACATTATCATAAAGGAATAATGAAAAACCATCCATAAAATGAAAAACCACTGATAACTCTGCCATTTCATTTTAATGATATTTTTCACTGGTGCAAGCTCGATGATACGATATGCGTCTTTGTTATCGTAGCCAAATTGAAAAAGCATTTCCAGTATTGATTCTGTTTCAGGGTAAGAGCAGCATCGTCCTCCACAAGGTGCACATTGTGTTTCATTTGAATGAACAACGGTTTTTGCTATTCCATGAATGTGTTGCGGAATTGACTTTTTGTATGAAACTGAAGATGGATGGCGATGGGTTAAGGCCCGAATAATGCTGACAGTATCTATCTCTGTAACATCATATTCTTTGACATCAAACAACCCGTCGTTTGCACTGATGAAGCAGTACACATCCTTTATGTTTAAAATTTCTTCAAAAAGCTCTGTTACTCCATGCTTTGCGGCAAGTTGCAGTGGGGACATATTGTCGTTATTTTTCAAAAACCATACGAATGAATGTGGTTCTCGATACATATCTGTTCCAGAATAATCATATGTACTTTTGTCTCGATCTTTCTTCTCTATCTTCTGATTGAGATATCGCAGCATATGCAGCATTGTCACAACCTTCTCCGGATATGTCGCAGAATACTTTATCAGTGAGTGAAATACTGTATCACCCTCCTCATTTTGAATAAGAATATCAGCCCCATACTGCAGCAAAATATCAACAATATCGGCATTTCCCTTTAGAGCAGCGACTGTCAAAGGAAGCTGTCCCATCATAACCGTATTCACGAATCGAGATCCGGTTGCTCGCGTATGCAACAAAGTTGCCATCTGAATGTCCTTGAACTGACCAACTTCGAGCATGACCTGAATAGCCTCAATGTTTCCTTTGGTAATGGCCATGTGAAGTGCTGTTTGACCGCAGAACTCTAAGGATAATTCTCTTGCCATAAGCAGCAAAGAAGGACATAACTCTGAAAGTTTTCTTACAAAGGATTCATTGTCATGGTATTTTACTGCCAAATGGAGGAGAGTCTCGCCTTCGTGGTTAGGGTTATGATACATCTGTAGCCATTTGAGGTTCCCTTGTTTTTCCAGTGTATCAAGCATCACAAACGCGTTTTCCAAATCTCCGTTAATGATTTCTTTTCCTAATCCTTCAAGAAATGGTACTCTTTCATTACCGTTTATCATTCTTTTTGTGTGACTTCTTACATGCTTGACACGTTCCATGGCGATTTTTGTGTTTTTCTGAGGACGACAAGGCAAGATTCCTAGAAAAGAAAGAACAATGCTTGTAATAAAATTAAAAGTTGCTAAGCATAGAGAAATTTCATCTCGTAAGCATTTGCAGGAAGGATTTTATAATTTTCAACCTCAAACGGCTGTGGTGATTGTTCAAGAAAATCGAGGTGCATACCAAGTAACACAAACAACTTAATGCTCTCATATATCATTAAAACTTTATCTTTAATTGCAGGAAAAAATGCATTTGGTAAACAAACATGCTATCATTTCTCCGTTAAATTAAGCAGTCAATTTTGAAGTAATAATGTGTACAATGTACACTTATTATGTCTGATACGTTGAACTTAACTATCAAATCTCACGAACATTTTACACAGCAATTTCAACAGAGTAAAATGTACCTTTTTCCATAGCAGATATTAGATTTCCTTCTTAACCAGTTGTTATGAAATGCAATATTAAAACAAGCTTGTTAACGTTACCATTTCTAAAGACAATTGTTCGGAGCTACACATTTGAGTGTTTTGACAATGACAATCGAACAAAACATTAAATACCCCTATGCGCAGTCGTTTGAATAAATACAGTATCTGTTAAATTTTTTTTAAAAAATGGTTTGATCATGGTTTGCTCATCAAAGTAAACTTACTAGTAGGTTGAAGAATATTGATTTAGGACTCTTTTTTTTTTTTTAAATTCTATCCGAGTATTGATAACCTGTCCCGAAGTGTCGTTCAGAAATTTGTTTCACGAATTACAGATATCCTTTTCACATTTGTAAAGAGTGTAGCACTAAAGTCTTGCGAAATTTAACTTATACAAAATTTTGGACCTCTGTGATTAAGTATGGGAAATTATAAATTACTGTCCATTACTCATGGGACTTTCCGGGAAAACAGTCATATATTGTGTTTATTTACATAGTACAAGTATTTATAGTAATAATTACCAATAATAGGTAGGACAGAATTAAAACAAACTGCATATAATTACATTAAATTACTAAAATGATAACGTTTTAAGTACAATAAGTATCTTAAATTCAGACTTCAGACTCTCTTCAATGTCAGTAGCCGGAAGTTTGTAATTTATTCAATTGTCCTGCCGCAATTATAATATTTAACAAAATCTATGGAAGGATCTGTTACAGAAAAAAGAAAATTCTACACACAACGAAATAATCGAAGAATTTAAAGAACGATAACTCAGTTTAAATGCCCTTGACCATGAGGTTGTTTAGTATATTTAAATCCAAGATTTGTCCAAAACTTGGCCACAGTGAATCAGTTTTGGCACAGATCCTATTCTTTGTTAAAGAAGGTTGTTTGAGTAAGAGGGGGAAATCTTGAAAAGGCCAAAGACATTCATATTAACGGAAACGGATAAAGTTATTCATACAGTTTTCTCACAAACACTTTTTCACTCTAAAAGTATATGGTATTAATTTTTTTTAAAAAACATACAAATCCGTAAGTAGATGACTGCATAACAAGTCGTTTTTGAAGTATAATTATAGGCATAAGAACTGCTAAGAAACGACTATTACCTGTAACTGAAAAGGTAGAAAAAAATAAAATGAGACTTTTGTCTTCATGAAAAATGAATGTAGATCATACCCTTCGTAATATTTTTATTTTCCAAGATCCGTGCCTGGATTCGACTCATCTGCATTTTTGTGGAAAAATCCTGAAGCCCATCCTGAAAATACATCTTCAATATTCAAATCAGTGGAAAGAGTGATGAGACTGTTTAAAAAAATTACCCAAGGTGCATTTTAAAAGAGCGATTAGAAACAAATTGTGTTAAGGATTACATTAATCCAAACTGATCTCTTTTTAAAAAGTGTAAGTTGGCATTACCACAATCCTGGGTCATCCATTCTCGACTATTTCTTTGTTGATTTAGCGTTTCAATCAATTATTTACAGCAGCGCTGTGTAAAGAAGGTGAAAAAAAAATTATATTAGAGGCGGAAGTGGGGTGCAATTGAAGCTCGATACTATCAGACAAATAACATTTTGCAATCTACACAGTTCTATATGAAACCGATGTATCCCAGATGCAACTATTTTAGAATACGTGAGATTTTAAAGGAAAATCAATGCAACGTAAAACGAGTGTGTATTGACTTTAGTACAAAGAATTCTGAGAATTGACCACTTCCCATTCTTTTACAGAAGGCCAGTCACAAAATACCCATATAACAAAATTTGGAACAGTTGCTGAAAATTCACATTTTCCCAATTTTTTTAATCATACATAATTTTGGCATTGATAGAAAATTCATAAGTACTTGCCCACTGGGAATTGCGTAGAACCTTTTCGTCCACACTAAATGGCTTTGTTCTTTGTTTACGTGTCCCACGTGCTCCTCGATCAGCTGGCCTGGGGGATTTAAATTTGTAAATTCATATTTAAATACCTCCTATACGTCATATATGTCCTCGTGAGGTGTCTGTCAAAACTCGTACTAGAATGTAAACTTTCCGATACACAATCAAACCAGTCTTAACCTTTCCTGAGTCATGACCACTTTGGTTCCAAGTGTAAATTCCAGTTGGTTTTTCTAACTCCAATCATTAATAAAATTTAGAACAAAATGATGCAAAGTCTTAAATACCTGTTTTCATAGTTTGGATATTGATTTTGTTTAAACTGCAAGCTTTCACAATGTGCGTGAACTTCTGAAGATTTTGTGAAATGCGATAAAGGCGCAGTTTTACCTAGTCATTATTGATTTTGCGATCAAGGCTTTCTGATTGTATTTATCTATTGATTACAAGGTATACGTAAGGCCGTAGTACACTCGATGAAAGGCCAGGGGCTGTACTGTTTACCTTTGAACTTGTTTTTGATGAGAAAGATAATTTTTTTGATAATCTTATTAATTGAATTATTCTGCATGCCAAGCAGTTATTCGAATTAATATACACTCACAAAATTAATAATGCCTTCAAAGATGAAACATGAAAACATAAATTGACTAATAACTGACACAATGGGGTCTTTAAAGGTGCTTTGACACAGATTTGAAGTTAACATTTTCTCAAATTTTCGGTATAATATCATGACTTATATGTTTTTATAGTATTTCACATGGAAATAAAATTAAAAAAAACTTATTTTATCTGGAAATTATTGAAACTACAAATTTCGAGACGCGTTTGATTGATACATCTATGCACTTTCACAATGTAAACTTTATCCTTAATACTCAAGAAAAGTAGAAATTTTGTTGTGCATTAATGAAAAGTATTACACTATAATCCAGAAAATAAGGATTTGAAATGTGAGAAAGTAAAAAAAAAAAGTATTGTCAGTTCGTGCTCAGTGATGTGTGCAGAGTTTAACAAATTGAACACACCCATGAAACATAAACTGTATTTGTAAACAGGGCACGAGCTCTGTTATTGTTAATGTTTACTTTTCACCGGGTGTGTTCAATTTGTTAAACTCTGCACATATCACTGGCAATACTGGTGAGTTGGTTTTGCTTTCTTACATTTCTACTCTGAATTTTCTGGATTATAGTTTGAATATATTAATTTTCATTAATACACAACAAAAATTTTACTTTTCTTGAGTGTTAAAGATAAAGTTTGCTTTATGAAAGTGCTAGGATGTATCAATCAAATGCGTCCCGAAATTTGTAGTTTCAATAATTTCCAGATAAAGTAAGTTTTTAATTTTATTTCCGTTAAAATGCTATAGCAACATATAAGTCATGATATTATACCGAAAACTTGAGAAAATATTAACTTAAAATCTGTGTCCAAGCACCTTTAAACAAGAGGCCCAAGGGCCTTACCGGTCACCTGAGTATAATTCAACAATTTACAGGATCCATAGAGTATAAAATAAACTGATGGATAGAGCTTTGTTGCCCAAAAGCAACAGAAGTAGATAGATCAGGATCAACAAAATAATTAGTCTAATTTTCCCCCACTTATCACTATCACCATGTAGACTATTAACACACTTTTAGTTCTCCTGTATTACTTTTAAACCCATATGTAAAATTATCCGGATAAACGCTGGAATATGGTATAAATACTTTACAAATGATGGTTAAGTTTCTACCCAAGCAGTTCCTGTTGTACATATAATGCCTAGAAATAAAAGGAAAAAGGATAGAGTTAGTAGCGGCAGCGATTCTCAACAAGACCCCAAACATTACAAGATCGAGAGGTGTGATCACCGGGACACTGATTCGGTATTGGTGAGTGAACTAATAGGTCAGTCAAAATTTGTACTGTATGAAGAAAACAACGATCTAAACAGTAGTGTCGGAAGCGCTAACTGCAGCAGTTCTTCTGAGCCTGAAAATAACAACCAAGAATCTCAATTCGAACACACAGTAATGACTACACTCAGCAAAAATAATTCAATAACAAAAGTTTCGGTTGAAGGAATTGACTTTTCAATATCGGAAAAACTAGATACGTTATTGAGTGTGGTGTATGATTTAAAATGTAGCCAGGACAGCATGAAACAAATGTTAGGACCAAAGCTTGACAAACTTAAATCTGATTTAATTAATAATATCGACAGCAAAATAAAGGTTTTGCGAGAGGAACTTTCTAATGATATTGCTAAAGAAAACAGTCACACAGACGAGATAATGAACACTATTAATTCAATACAAAGTCGTTTGAACAGCCTAGAGGAACAAAGCCATCACACATTACCTGCGAATTTACATGCTCACGATAGCCATACAAATCCGTTAGAAAACCATGACATTACAATAATAGTCAGTGGACTAACTTTCAATGAAAATTAAGACCTTGTGCAAAAGGCAGAAAGTCTCATTTCTGCTCTAGGGGACAGTGTCTCTGAAAGTGTCCAAATAACGGATGTATCTCGTCTACTTGCACGACTTTAAAATAAAACCGGTCTTGTGAAAATCAGCTTCCGCAACAAAGAGGAGAAAGTTCGCTTGTTGAGAAACAAGATGAAACTGAAAAACTGTGATTCTTATAAATCAGTGTATATAAAAGGTAGCAAATCCAGAATCGAGCGTCTTATTGAAAGCAATGCACGTGCAATACTCCGTAGTCTTCCGCAAACGCAGAGCAGATCACTCCGGGTGGATGCAAAAAGACGCATTATAAACCGTAACCCAACCCAACAAATTAACCAGGAAGTCAATGAGGCATACTCGTTATATTCCCGCCAGAAAAGATTCTAGGAGTGTCTTACGTACAGAGTGAGATTTATATGCGAGCTGTGATAGTGGTGATCTACTATTTATAATTTTAGATTTTCATTGCGCTTTGGTTCACATTCTGATACGTACTCCACTGGACTAGAATGATGAAATCCACTGGACTTTCTCATATCAACAATGACTTACATTGACTGTATTCACTGCAGAAACTTTATTTCAAATGATATTAACTATGAATAACAGTAAAGAATTCTGAAAAACCGTCTATCTGGATAAAATAAATCAGGCAATTATTCCATATGTTAAGAACACGAGATGTATATTAGAGCTGATTATGTACAATATTTCTTATAAGGTGACATATAGGTCCAACGGGCTGGGTGTTTGTTTTCTGATATTTTTGTACGGTCGTTCATGTTGTTTAACACATGTCACTATAATAAATAAACACTACTACTAAATAATATTTCAGATTGACCTCTCTTGGTCTTTGAAGAACATTTAATGAGATAAGTTATTTTTGTCTCATTTATTATTTATCTATTATTTACAGGTCTACCTGATCATTATAACTAAGAAAGTACTTTTTGTATTATACAGTACAATAAAAATTCTTGCATAATTATCTTATTCTATTAACCTTTCAAATACATTATTTACAGTGATTAATAATTAAAGGTGAATGGAAAAGGGGAATAACTTCTCTCAGTAAAATAAAAATTAATAAAGCCCTGCCCAGGTCCAGAATGCTTTTAATCAAATGGTCCAGATGTTCAAAAATCAGGTAAAAATACCCTTGCTTATTAAAACTTTTACTCACTTTGCCTCTGATATACTCAGAAGCAGAGAAGAATTTCACAGTTACAATGCATTTTCCCTCATCATCATAATTATACACTTCAAAGAATTAACTCATTTCCACTATATTATCAAAAGCCCCCCCTGTCCCTGGGACCACAAGTTAAAAAAAAAAATTGTTAGAAGCTCCCTTGTACATCATAACTATGCAATTTGTTTATCTGCTCAACACTAAGGAGCAGACAGGATTAATGAATAGAATTAATGCATTTTTTTGTATATTATTATCGATAAAGCCCCACCCTTACACCAGAACATCTGACCCAGGGGCCATGAAACTCACAACTCTGGAAGAAGCATTCTTGCTCATCATAACTATACACTTAGTTTCTTTACTTTGTAACCAGAAGCAGAAAAAATATTTTCAAAGATATGCTTTTCCACTATATAATCATTAGAGCCCCCCCCCCCCCCCTTGCACCTGAACTCCCAACCTTGGGGCAATATATTATACAATTTTGGAAGAGGCATCTTTGCCTATCATAATCATGAACTTATTTTGTTTAAATAATCTCCAGGGTCAGAGAAGAAGATTTTCAAGAATTAATGCATTTTCACTATATAATCAATAGAGCTCCACCCTAACACCAGAGCCCCTAGCCAAAGGGCCATGAAATTCACAATTCTGGAAGAAACATCCTTGCTCATTATAACTATGTACTCAGTCTCTGGAAGAAACATCCTTGCTCATTATAACTATGTACTGAGTAAGTTTGTTTAATACCCAGGGCATTGAAGAAGATTTTCAAAGAATTAATGCATTTCACAGAATAATCAATAGAGCCCTGCCTTAACACCAGAACCCCTGACCCAGGGGCCATGAAATTCACAATTTTGGAAGAGACATCCTTGCTCATCATAATTATGTACTCGGTTAGTTTGTTTAATACTCAGGAGCAGAGGAAAAGATTTTTCAAAGAAAAGGACAAGCATGCCATATATGGTTGTGTAGATAAATTATCCTAGAAGCCATGGGAATAAACAGTTTGCCAGTGCATTTCCTCTGAAAGTGTAAATGAGTGCGAATCTGGGGGAAGGAGTACTCCATGTAGTTCGGAGTTGGATACTTTGTGTTATTATTATGCTATGGGTCAAAAATTTATTACAGAAACAAGTGTCTGTGTGTTATTATTATGCTATGGGTCAAAAATTTATTACAGAAAGTGCCTGTGATACATTCGAAATGTAAGGTCTTTATTGATACATGTATGTACCAGTTTAAGTAAAAGTATAGTGTTTCAGCTTAAAATATTTTTTTTAATTTTAGACCACAGGAGCACTGCGCCATTTATAGCACGGCCACCAATCGCTTTAACTCATATCCAAATGATATGAAAAGTGCCTGTGATACATTCGAAATGTAAGGTCTTTATTGATACATGTATGTACCAGTTTAAGTAAAAGTATAGTGTTTCAGCTTAAAATATTTTTTTTTATTTTAGACCACAGGAGCACTGCGCCATTTATAGCACGGCCACCAATCGCTTTAACTCATATCCAAATGATATGAAAAGGATTTCGTTATCGGGTCTTCTGGATATGCGTTGGAGGGACTTTTGCATTCGCTTCGGAGGTAAGTTGAGCTCTTTTTCTTGTATATTGACCCTTTTTACAAAACAAAACAAAGCATTTGATTCGACCCATTTTATTGAGGTAATGCCTCACCGTGAACTGTCTGGACTGAACTCAGTGTTGAAAAGATTATAGACTGTTCTCGAAAATTATTCATATATTCATTGACCTGAGGTCAAGCTATTGAAAACGAGGCTAAGCTAGGTCAGCGTCAGCATCAACATGGAGTCAAACGAAAACACTCCAACATGTGAATTAACAATTTCTAAACGAGACGAATATTGTTGCGTGCCTTTATGTAATGGGAATGCTAGAATTCACCATGATCTCAGTTTTCATCATATTCCTAAGAAGCTAGAGATGCGGAAGAAATGGCTCGTTGCTATACGACGCGACGAAGGACCCCAGTTCAAGGTAGGCAAAATTATACTGACCTACGTACACATACTTAACAAGCTTAATAAGAGATCGATTAAAATTGTATGCCTTCATAATTTTCACGAACAATGCATCCTTGGCAGTTAATGTGCAGGTTAGATACTGCATATCTAATGCTTAATTATCAGATTATGGACGCACATCAATGTGTTTCGAATTTCCTCGCTATTCATTACGTGACTTGTGCGTAACATCTGAACATTTTCTGACATCATGTTAAGATTTTTTTTTAATTAGCAGTAAATTTGCAATTTATTTTTCAGATAGGAAATAACACTGTCGTTTGTTCGAGGCATTTTAATGAATCGAACTTTAGATCCACTTTAGTAAGAAAGTGTCTGAAAGCTGATGCTGTCCCATCTGTATTTCCGTGGACCCAGAATGCACCTCCTAGAAAACCTCCTAGAGAACGTCACCACTTACCTCAAAGTAGGAAATTCTCAGAGAACTTCCAAGTAATCTAGTTGACCAGCTTGAGAGAACAGAACCAGAGAATCATGAAACAGACTCCACAGATACCCATAGTCAACATTGTGACGGTGTCAGTGATCATGATGGCAACGTGTAGGTTCTTTTATATAAAATTATTGATCTCCATTTTATGCAGTTAATTTACACATGCAAATGTACTCATTAGTTCTAAATAATAGTTAATATACCTGACCTACTTTGTACGTAAAAATACATTAAGTAAAATGAAATTCAATTAATACATTGAACAATTTTTTGAACAATTTTGGGTGTAACCAAACTTCCTTGGGCTCAATGCCATGGTAAGGCCAAGGTATGCTGGTAGAACTGCCAAAATATTTTACGAACTGTTTTGTGTGGTATTTAGTTTTCTTTGGATAGTTTTAAAATTATGTATTGAGAGTGTATTTTATTTTTCAGAATGGACAACCATGCAGGATGCAAGTTAAAAGTGGAAGAACTTCAGGAAATAATACAGAAAAAGAATGATGAAATTCATAAACTGAATGAAATGCTTTTAATGGAAAAATTTGGTGTCAACAGATTTTCTTATGATGATGATATGATTGAATTTTACACTGGTTTTCCTACATACTCTGTTTACATAGCATTTTACAATGCAATTAAACCTACTGTTCAAAAAATGAAAACTGTGTATTACAATACATCTGATGATCTTAGTTTGAGAGGAAGACCAAAATCAATGATTCTTGTAGATGAACTTTTTATGTTTCTCTGTCGCCTTTGATGTGGCTTTTTAACCGAGGACCTTTCTGTCAGATTCAATATTCACAAATCTACTGTGAGCAGAAAAATCTTAACATGGACAAATTACTTATATTTCATTTTAGGAAGTATAAACATATGGCCCACCCGAGAGCAAATTGTGCAGAATATGCCACAAGATTTTCAAGTCCTTTACCCAAGAACTCGAATTATAATAGATTGTACGGAGATTTTTACTGAAAAGCCATCATCTCTTGCTTTAGCTTCAAAAACTTTTTCAAGTTATAAAAGTCACAACACCTGGAAGGGCCTTGTTGGAATAGCCCCCCATGGTGCAGTTACATTTATTTCGTCTTTATATACAGGCTGTATGTCTGATGTTGAAATCACTAAATCCTGTGGACTTATAGATCTTTTAGAATGTGGTGATGAAGTAATGGCCGACAAAGGTTTTGTATTGAACAAAATACTACAAGATAGAGGCATTCAAATAAGTACACCCCATTTTTTGTGTTCAGATGGACAATTTACTTCATCTGAAATTCAAGAAAACCAGAAAATTGCTTCTTTAAGGATACATGTGGAGAGACATATTAAGCGTGTTAAAGAGTACAAGCTTTTGCAATCAGTAGTGCCATTATCTATTGCAGGGTCTATTAATCAGTTGTGGACAGTTGCTAACATTTTATCCTTGTTCAGAAGACCATTAATAAAACATAAAAATTGATCACTTTTCATGTTTTTCATTTTAATTTGTTTTTACAAGTAAATGATCATAAAAAATAATTAAAATAAAACATATCAAGCTTGTCCTTGGCCATGTTCCAAAATTCCCCATCAAAATAAATTGTTTCTAAGTGAAATTCATTATCTAGCCAAATGAAAAAGTCACACCATTCTACCCCTGTAACAGCCATCTGCATTTGAAGTTGGTAATAATAATTGTCATTCTTTTTTAAATGTAAAGCATCATCTGTTCGCTTAAGACATTTCACATCACTCAGGGCTTCACAGCTTGGGCACTTGATTTCTAGCAGACCATATGGTGGATTCCTTGATGGGCAGTACACCTTTCTATCCGGGGTTGCTGCCATCCAGTGACAATAGGGACTAATGATCACACCAGATGGATACAAATTGACACCATCATCCATAACCTATATTAAAAAAAATTAACAAGATTACAATTCTCTCCTTCCAATGTAACTACATTTCAACTTCCAGCAAATGTTATACATATATGATATAATATGATAAAAGCTTTTTGTAGTTCATTAATAATTATTCTACCACAGTTATTGACGAGATCAAAGAAATGCCGCGGACATTATTCTCCAATAAATACGAACGTCATCAAAAAATTATCAGATCAGAAACACGTCAAACCTGTACAGTTGAAACAAATATTTCAATGTAAAATCTAATACTTATTTAGACCATATCGATGTGTCGTCTTACGCAGTCTAAATAGTGTGTATTGCCTGAAACAGCTGATAAATATCCCTTTTATAGCCAAGTTGGGCTGTTCCATGGACCTCCCCACAACATTTACACTCCGTGATTTTACAGATGAAATAGACAAATGATTTTGTCATTTTACATTCATAAAGATTATTCGATATATGTTACAAACAAATTTATAAATAATTAAAGGATATTTTTAATCCAACGAAAGTTGAAACCGCCTGCATTTTATGCAATCGATACACAAGTAAACAAACATATTGACTCTGGTGTTAAATGGAACAGCAAAATTTCGACATGGTGACCTAATTCGTTTCTCTATAGAGAAAATGATCAGCCGTGTTATAGAGCTGTTAGTAGAATAGAAATAAAGTCCTTGTTGTTGTGAATGATGCAGGATAACCTCCTCGGTCTCGAAATGTTGTCTGAAATATAAAAGCCTCGGCTAACGCCTCAGCTTTTATATTTCAGACATTTCTCGACCTCGGAGGTTATCCTGCAACATTAACAATAACACGGACTTTATTTCTTAATTAAATAACTTTCATATACAGTGTACCTTGCTATATTTTTGTGCAGCAGTGCTTTCAAATTCTAAGCCTCGTTTCATTGCTGCTGTTTGTACATGACGAACTGTCATCAGCCTTTCTGCAAGCTTACTTCCATCTTCAAGAAATAAAAATCAAATAATTTTAAATAGACTGCCGATTTACATACTGTAGTACAAAAATGTTTCAAAAGTAATATGAATTTAAAATTTAAGAAATCATTTGAACTTATTTTTTCTTTATAATGTACACTACTTCTTTAAAAGACATTTTCTCATGTGCACAAATCCATATTATTTAATTAATAGTAACAGTTCAGTAAATCTTATATAGGTGTTCCATATATGAAAGGGATTGATTCAAAGATATTGTAATTAAGATAAGAATTAGAAGTGCCTAATTTCTAAAAATACCTGCTCGTCTCTTTGCGATTTCCCCTGCTGAAGATGCTGTGATCCTTGATTGCCGCAGTTTATGCCACTTTGGATCCCTGGATTGGTCCCTTGTACTCTGTTCAATTTCTAAACTTTCTTTCTCTGTTATTTTAAGCGATTCAAATTTCTTTAACTGTTGGTCATTTAACACAAAAGGAATGTGGTTTTCCATCACATTTTTTAGTGGTAAATTTGGAAAGTCATTACTATCATACAAATTAATGACATAGTCTGTGGACAATTTACGTTGATAACTCAGAACAGATCCTCTTGGAAATTTACCAAAGTCAGTTTGAACAAAATGTTGTGATTCACTTTTCATGCTTATATTCAAAGTGCTAAAAAGGAGTTGAGATCCCTTAGTGGTGTCTGTAAATGACTGTGCATCAAAAGTGTCATCAGCTGATGATAAGGGATTGTACAACGTTGACTTGATTCCTTTTGTTGTACGGTATGGATTAGAGCGGTCATAACCTTGCACCACGATGTTGTCTACTTTATCCCCGCGCAGCTTTTCTCCCCTTGGAACGTGCCAGGTTTGAGGTAGTGAAGTTTTCGCAATATCGACTGGAATGTACTTTATATCTAACTGTTTGTAGTTTGCGATTTGATACAAGAGTGCCGTGACATGCCCACAGTTCCCGCTTTTCCCTATGACACAAGAGCAACTGGCCTCTACTATATCACTGTCCTGGAACATAACTTTTACATCATGTGGACTTTCACTTTTTTTCTGGGACCTGTAACATTTTGCTTGGACAAAGCTACCAACTGTGTCTGCATAAACTGCAAATAAAATAAAAAAAATGATAGAAAATAAAAAATAAAATAAAAATCAATAAAAAAATTTGCTAGTTCATCGAACCAAACTATATGTGCTTAATTCAGGACAGGATCTCCCCTTTCCCCCTTACAGACCTGTGGGCCTTTTTCTACTTTCTCATAATTTATCTTCTGATATCATCAATATGAAAAATTACTTACAACAATCCTTTTTTCTTTTTTTATAAAAATGTTTACTCCCCCCTTCCCCTGTGTCCTCAAACACTAATCCGAGATTCCTCTGACTCTAACCCCTGCTTTTATATTTTGACATGTGCACACTGTGACATGTGTCCCCTGCACATGTCAAAATATAAAAGCAGGGGTTAGAGTCAGAGGAATCTTGGATTACTCAAACACCTGTGTCATGCAAAGCACTACAATATGACATATTTAACTTGTTAATGTGAAAATCTATTAGTGAACACATATATATACATTTGTTTATAAGGGGCACTTATTATCATTAAAATGTTAAAGATAAATGTAATTTCAGGGCAATGATTTTACTGTTCACAAAACTTCGGAGTATATATTGAACTGTTGAACTTACCACGCATAGAATGCACGTATTGTTCCGAGTAGTATTTGAATCCTTTGGACATTTGTTGAGGTCCAGATGAAACTGATGCAGATTTAATATATTTTTCGACGTAAGCAAATGTAATGTGCGGCAATATTGTTAAATCTCGCACGCTGTTTACACTGCTACTGGAGGCCGCCATTGCAGCTTGCCTAGTTTAGCCTTGTTTTCGCATACGTCATGAATATTTATTAGATAATTTTAAGACTCGTCTATAGAACTTTTATTTTGTGAGTTTGGCGTAATTTCGTCACACAAAACTAACTGGTAGCGTCAAAGATCCACTGAAACAAAGTTACCAAGCAATTGTAATGTACTTCATTTATGTCATTATGACCATGAAATATTATAAAAGACTTTGTCACAATGAAGGTTCTCGTTTCTTCATTAATTCAAAGGTTAGGGATGGAAAAGCACCATGATATGAGTTATCGGAACCAAATATGATTTAGCGGTACCCGCTATGTGTAAGGCTTCCAAGACTACCTATGTTCTTGAAATATACCAAACACGAATTTGAATTAAAGCATGACTTAGACCTGTTATTATAATATGAGTATTCCTAGTTATGCCCCCTTTGTAAAGTGTTGCACATGTTAATCAGCCAGAAGACCAAAGTTTTTTGATACACTATATTAAATGCTTGCACGACTCCTATTGATTTTGACAACAAAAAACCGAAGTTCAAGTGCCAGACAACACTGAGATAAGAACTGTTGTCTTTCAATATTTTAGGCCCTAAATAAATGGTCAAAATTTGGATGCTTTTCCCCCTTTTTTGTTGCTGTATGGTGAAAAAAAAGCAAATTCCAGTATTTGAAAAAAAAAAAAATGTGCCAAAAAGTTAGAGAAAAGCCCCGAAACTCCACCCCATCCCCCGAACTAGGATTTTAGAGCTTAGACAGCTTACTA